CCCCCCCCCCCACCACCACCAGCACTAACCGTACAAGGGATGTTCGGTACCACTTATTTACATTTTTTAAAATGTATATATTTTTTTAAAACATTTTTAATGTGCTTATATTTATATTTATTTATATACTTTTTGTTGTTTGTAATTTTGCTGCTGTGAATTGGAAATTTCTCCATTGTGAGACAAAAAAAAACTAGTACCAGAATTCACTCCTGAATATTATTTCTCATCATTTTGGGGAGAATTCTTAGGGTTTCATTTTTTTTTAAAAAATCAGCAATGTATTTCACTGGGAAACAACTATATGCAAATTTTGGCTACACGCGGGCGGGCCGGTGCTACAAATCGAAGCGAAAAGTGGAGATCGATTATTCAGCAAATCGGTTGTCTTGTTTTTTAATTTGCTGATCGGTGATCATCTCCAAAATACTGGTAGTGTAAAGATTAGCTCCTAATACTACCAGTGAGTCATTCTACTAGTGGAACGAATTGTCCACTTCAGTGGACAAAGAGCCGACTAGTACCTGTACCGCCAGCTGGATATTGAATAAACACGCAAACGGCTTTCCAAAGAGGACCGGAGACAGCGCGGCCAAACAATTTGCAGGGTTTGTCACCAAGTCGACAAAACTGACAGAAGACGTTTGTTTATATTCTGCTTTGGGATGCGACCAATCACTGAAGTTTACGTCACCGTGACGAGACAGGGAAGTTAAAATCAAAGCATCTTACGTCTTGAAATGCTTCTGTGTAATGATCGTGTTTCCCAGGGCTGAGCTTTATGTACACACGCGCTCGCTTCCTGTTCTGATTGTCCAAAGCAAAAATCCACAGAAGTTGATGCCGGGAAGAACGTCGCCAGCCGTCCAATCGGAAGAGTCCGTTGAGTGTGCAAGAGGGCGGCGGCCTCTGTGTGCTCCTTTTTTGGGGCATCGGCGCTTCCTGGATTCCATCAGTAGTCTGTCCAAGGGTCAGCTAGAGGTCAGAGTTGATGGGAGGTGAGGGAGGTTGGGATGCTGGACGTCACAGAGCGGTGGAAGTGAGCTTTTTCACACCCCTCCGCTGCGCCAAAGTGGAGCAGCCCACCGGCTCCAGAACCGGCGGGACGTTTCTATTCAGGGCCGAGTACGTGGCCGCCATTGCTCCCTGGAACGCAAATATTAGCGTTACTTCCATTACAGCGTAGGGTGCTACAAGAGCTAATCCGTGTCTGCCATCTAGTGGTCAATGGTGATATTACAATGTAAAACTATATAGTGAAACGCAATTATTTGTGTGAGATTTGTAAGACCCAGACCGGCTGGCAAATAGCAAAAAATCTGGCCTTTGCTCAGAGTCAACTGGGCTTTGAGGCAGACATGCTAACCACTTTTCCACTTGAAGTTGGATTCTTGAGATATTATTTCTTTGTTGGGACGTGACGGAAAGCTCAAGTTGACCGAGTCACCTTGACGAGATGCGGCGCGTCCTGTCTGTTGAGCGTGTATTTGGGCAACTGGTCTCGGTGCGTGACCCACGGGTGCCGCAGGACCTGACCGGCCGTTAGCCGCTGGTGGGGGTCCACGTGCAGCATCTTTGACACCAGGTCCTGAGGGGCCACAAACGCAAACATGCCACTCGTTATCATCATGAGTTGGGGCCAGACTATATGACTTCAAAATCCAATATTTGATTTAAAAAAAAATAGAGCAAAATCAACCAAAACTTTATTGACTTGATAAATTCGCTTCAGCCCAATTGTTGATTAAATCTGTCTGTTTGAGGAAACGTACCTTGGCCTCAGAAGACACCGAGTTCCAGTATCCTCCGGTCAGCGAGAACTTCCCGCTGCCGATTCGGGCCAAAATCTCCTCTGGCGTGTCCTCTGGGCCGTTAGCAAACGGAGTGAAGCTGCACAAAAGACGACAAGCCATTGAAAGTTCCAATTGGACGAGCAAAAAATAAAAAATAAAAATTCATTTCAAAACAAGTTGAAGCTTTGCAACTAGACTACATGGAGTCCTGAGTCTACCCTGTTAGCATGGTGTACAGAAGCACTCCAAGACTCCAGATGTCACAGGCTGCGTCGTAACCCTGCTTCTTTAGAACCTGTGGGCGACATGCAAATTAACTGTGTTGAGTGTGTGACATCTCAACACCCACCCCCTCCCAAAAAAAAGCCTCTCACCTCGGGAGCAACAAAGTTGGCGGTGTAGCACGGTGTCATGAGCAGGCCGTTCTCCGCCCTTAGCTGCTTGGCGAAGCCAAAGTCGCAGATCCTGATGGATTCGGCGTTGCCGCTCTCGTCCACGTAGAGGATGTTGCTGGGCTTCAGGTCTCGGTGCACCACCTTCACGGCACACAAGCAGGACATGTCAAACAAATCCAATAAATTGAATTCATTTCCATAAGCTGTTCATGGTCCACGTTAGCATTAAGCTAGGGTAACGAAGCTAGCACAACAAGAGTCCTAGACAGTGTGGACGCACCCCCTGCACGTGAAGGTACTCCAGCGTTTTGGCGATGGTGAAGAGAACGGCGCTGGCCTCTCGCTCGGAGAAAAACTTCTGGCGTAGGATCTTGTCCAGTAGCTCTCCGCCCTTCATCAGCTCCGTCACCAGGAAGACGGAGCGGCCGTCGTCGTACACCTGACACGATGGAAAGAGGGCGCCGATGAGAAAATATCGCGTTTGTCGTCGAAACCCTCCGGCGGTGACGTCGGACAGCAGCCGCACACATTGTGGGCTTTGACTTACGTCTTTGAGTGTGATGATATTGGGGTGCTGGCCGTATCTGAGGAGGATTTCCACCTCCTCCGTGGGGTCCCGCTTGGCTTTGTTGATGATCTGCAACGGGAAGACCCGTTCAGGCGGGTGCCCGAGTGTGGGCGGTGTACACCGTCCGTACGAGGCGCTCCCACCTTGACGGCGTAGTCCATGCCGGTGCCCTTGTGCACGCAGCGCTTGCAGATGGAGTAGGAGCCCACGCCGATGTCCTCTTTGACATCGTACGCGTCGCAAAACTGAGACGTGCTTCTGTGGAGCTGCTGCAGGGCAAAAGGAGTCCAATGTCAGGTCACACATGATCAGCTTGGGCCCTTTTTTGTTGGCTGTGGTCCCTGCGTTTGTTTGTTTTGTCTTCTAGGTGGCGACACTGCTAGCAGAGAGTTTGAGCAACTGGGAGATTGGACGCTAAGTATGCTGTCCTGTATTTCTTCTAGTGTTTTTTTTTGTTTTTTTTTAACCGAGTCACTATTTTTTCCCCCATGTTTTGATTCATATTTTTGGGGTGTCCTCCTGGCTGCCACACAACCCACACACAGAAGCAAAATGTGGGTTGATGCGTGCCTGTCAAGCAGGTGTGTCTAAGTGAGTGGCATAAGCAGCCAAAAGTCAGTCTGTTTGGTTTCCCGCTGTTACTGTGTCTTTTTTTTTTTGTTTTTTTGGATCCATGCATCTTGTGAGTGTTGTCATTTTGTATTTGGCTGCTTGTCCTCTTCAATAAACAGTTGAAAAAAAAAAAAGTCTACCAAAAAACTTGCAGTTAAAAAAAAAAAAAAAAAAAGATAATGAGGGCCTTCGAAAGTCAAGATGTGCCTTGGCCCAATAAAAGTGAGGAAACACGGCACTTGGAGGTTAAGCAGGAGTCTCTGTCAGCCCCCAATCTTGAGTGGGCGGAGTCGAGAAAGTTTGGGATTTTGCACCGTTTTGGTTTTCACGCAAGCCAGCGGCAGCAGCTCATGTTATGATGAGCCTTCATTCCGTGTGTGTGCGCGCGCGTGTTGGGGTGTCCTCCTGGCTGCCACACAACCCACACACAGAAGCAAAATGTGGGTTGATGCGTGCCTGTCAAGCAGGTGTGTCTAAGTGAGTGGCATAAGCAGCCAAAAGTCAGTCTGTTTGGTTTCCCGCTGTTACTGTGTCTTTTTTTTTTGTTTTTTTGGATCCATGCTCCTTGTGAGTGTTGTCATTTTGTATTTGGCTGCTTGTCCTCTTCAATAAACAGTTGAAAGTGAGTGTGCATTTCCATTTTCCTTCACTTCCCTCGAGTGTCTGAAGCTCAATACAGTACTAAGTCAAATTTTGGCTTGTAATACATCGAAAAAAAAAAAGTCTACCAAATAACTTGCAGTTAAAAAAAAAAAAAAAAGATGAGGGCCCTCGAAAGTCAAGACGTGCCTTGGCCCAATAAAAGTGAGGAAACACTGCACTTGGAGGTTAAGCAGGAGTCTCCGTCAACCTCCAATCTTGAGTGGGCGGAGTCGAGAAAGTTTGGGATTTTGCACCGTTTTGGTTTTTACGCAAGCCAGCGGCAGCAGCTTCATGTTATGATGTGTGTGCGCGCGCGTGGGTACCTGAACGATGGCGTTTGGCATCGGCTGCGTTTCCTCTTCTGTTATTGCCACAAAACTGAATCCTCGGAAGAGCTGATGGGCATTGGCGCTGGGCGGCACTCCCGGAGAGTCTGACACATCAACGCACGCAAACGCACTCATTAGTTTGCCCGCCCCGGACTTGATGCGTCAAGGAAGCATCCGGTGAATGGATGAGTCACAACATGGACGGAAAAACGTGAAGGCGCAAAAACGCACATTCCAGTCGATGGTGCTGAAGAACTGATGCCTCTTGATCTCCTCCACACCGTCGGGACCGGCGCCTTCGAACGTGAAAGGGAACAGTTTGGAACGACGACAGGGACGCGAAGAGGGAATTGAGCGCGATTGATGCTCACCTAATCGGTTGGACGGGTTGCGCTTAAAAAGGTTCCTGAGAAGACTCTGGGCTTCGGAACTTAAAAACTGCGGCATTCCCAGCTTGGCCCTGCAGAGACAAGTTGAGCGTTCAGGATTTGAGTCGATCACGATCAGGAAACACGATTTCAAAGCGACACATTGATGTTTGCTGTCCTTCTGAGGGCTTGGTGTGGACTCACTTGAGGATCATGGTCATGGTCTCTTTGCGGTCTTTGCCTTGGAACGGCAGAGTGCCCGTCAGCATCTCAAACTTGAGGAAGAACAATAAATCAGAAAGTACACAAGAAAAAGACCTTCAAGTCAAATCTCTGATGTCGCAGAAATGCCATGTCCGATTCGAATCGATTTTTTTCGCCCGCGTTGACACACACACAAAAAAAAACAAACAAACGACAAAGACATTCAAATGATTTCACGCTCAAGGCTTGCTTCACTTTCAGCTTCGTTGAGGGCCTTTTTGGGAGGTAGAAAAAAAAAACACGCTCTCCCACTCACCATCAGAACGCCGTAAGACCACCAGTCGGCACTGTGCGTGTGCCCCCGCCGGTTGACCACCTCCGGGGCCATATACTCCACCGTCCCGCAGAACGAGTACGCCTTGTTCTCGTGGTCGATGGACTCTTTGCTCAGGCCAAAGTCTGCACAGGTACACACCCCAAACGCAGAAATTTGAGGCAAACCTTTTAAGAGGAAACGAGAGGCCCCCACGCGCGGCGTCAAATGACGCACCTGTCAGCTTGATGTGTCCGTCCTCATCCAGCAGGATGCTGAAACGACAACAACACGTCAGACTCAAAACATTTTTTTTCCGAGATGACTGACGCGTGCGTGCGCGTACTTCTCGGGCTTCAGGTCCCTGTAGATGATGCCGAGGCCGTGAAGGTGATCGAGAGCCAGCGCCAGTTCTGCCAGGTAGAATTTCACATCCTCCTCTGTGAACATCACCTACAACACACACTCACAATTTCAATATCGATGACTCAGATCAGGATTTGGGTAAAAAGCGTTCTTGTTGCCGTGCTACCTCTTTGGAAAGCCTGGTGAAGAGGTCTCCCCCTCTCAGGAAGTCCAGGATCAGGTAGAGCTTCCCCTCCGTCTGGAAGGCTGAGGGGGGGAAAAGGAAGCGATGCCGATGAAGTCGGCATGATTCGCCTGCCCGTTGCGGGGAGGCTCAAAAGTGGACACGAGGACGACGAGTGGCCGGATGGCGGCGTGGTGACTCAGGGGTAACTCGGCCTGACTCACCGTAGTGCAGTTTGACGATGAAGGGATGATTGACTTCCACCAGGATGTCTCTCTCCATCTTTGTCCTGACCCGGTCGCGCACTTAAAGACACACACACAGATTCACATTCACATGCGCGCAAAAGGTGAGACTCCGCAATCACTCGTCGTTGCCAAAAAAACGTAACGGGGGTTGCAAAACATTTCGAGAATGGACATTTATTGTGGGAATTTATGGCAATCAGGAAGGAATTGGGGGTACCTCCAAAACATTTAGCGTATGTGTGTGAGCGTACCTTTTAGTGTCGCTTTCTTGAGAACTTTCATGGCATACAGTTGGCCGGCGTCAGGGCCCGTCACCTTCCTCACCAGGAACACCTAAACGCAACGGACACACATACACACACACACACTGTACCTCAGTATTGTGCAGCGTGCGCTTTTCACTCCGTCGCTGCGCGATGGTTCTTCTATTAACACGGAGCGACAGCGCGGGCGGGAGACTAATTGCTCTTTCGTAAAACACGGCACTCGGCGGGAGCGTGAAGGGCCCTCGGCCCGCCGTCGCCATGGCGACGGCCGACGGGTGCCCCCGCCGAGTGCGTCGAAGCGGAAGCAAACGCGGGCGCGCGCATGCACACCTTGCCAAAGGAGCCTTGTCCCAGGACTTTGCGCAGCTCGAACTGCCGAGGGTCGGCCTTCTCGCATCCTTCCTTCACGTGGTGAGTGATGCTAATCTCCTTGATGGGCACGTCATCCTGCAACGCACACGAACACACCGGGTTAGGAAAAACGGGTTGTGCGAAGCGCAATTACTGTGTTGGGACAAGGCAAAAAGTTCCGACAACTTTAACGTGGTCATGGGGGCGTGGTCGAATGTGTGAGATCTGGAAAATGCCTCCACTTCATCATTATTATTATTATTTTTTTTTTTCAAATCTCTGTGAATATGAACATTTTCATCAACCATTAGCACATTTTTAGAATAGGCTGGCGGGTTACTCGCCCAATTTGGTGACCATTGCTCGAGGTCATGCCATCAAAAGGCACAAATTAATGGCATTCGCATTCATTTCAATGGGTAAGGTTGATTTGAGATAAGTACTCTGACCAATTGAGTTCAATTGGATCTCTTGTACGGTTGGGATTGACTGGCCCGCGTGTACTGGAGCGCGCGTCCAGCAAGGTTTTGCCTCGGCGTCGGTCCGCCAAGTGGCCGCCTCCCTTGTATTGTTCTGCTCAACGTCAGAAAGTTGGCGCCGGGAATGAAATGAAGCAAAAGCGCATCGCGCCAGTATTCTGACGACAGCTAGCGACAGGGTGAGCGGGCTCGCCGAGCGCCTGACGTCGGCGCATAACAACGTGAGCGCACACACACTCGGTTGTCATGGAGCCACCCCCGGTACCTGCGCGCCGTAAGCAAGCCGAGTGACTAATGATGGCAACCAGTGCGAGCGTGCGTTCAGCCTTCAAATTCTTTGCAAAGGGAACGGCGCAAGCCTAATCCGCCTCCTCCTCTTCCTCGCTCAGTGCCGCATACCTGGCCTTCCCAGGGGGACGACCTGCCGACTCCAGGTGCACGCTGGGTCCTGTAGTCAAGGGCGTGGCCCAGGCTGCGCGGCGACAACATGCTCCTGCGCCGCGACGGGACTGAGCGGTACCGAGCGGCGCCGGCTTCTGATCATTCTTGACACTTTGTCGTTTGCTTTCTCTCTCGCTCGCTCACAGACGTTCTCTTCTCCTCCCTCCTTGCCGCCCCCCTCCCCCGCCGACTCTTGTGTCTTTCTTTGAACACTTGTCACCTCTCGCTACTCTCATAATGACACGCACAATTTGATCCTTCGGGGAAGTGGAACCAGGGCTGACAAAGGTTAGCTTCGAGCCGCAGGAATTTTGGATTTTAATATACTTTCGGCGTGAGAGTGACATGACAGAGTCAAAGCCTGAAATTCGGAGGAATGTTGACATTTCAAATGCGCACGTATGCGTGAGTCACCACGCAGATGGCAGATCGGAGCCGGAGCGACAGGATGCTCATGTCACACCTCTTAATCACGCCATCAAAAGTGCAAAGCCAGCGCCTGTGCTCTCTCTCTCTCACACACACACACACACACACACACACACATACACACACACACACACTCGTGCAGTTTCTTCACTGTCACATTGAAACAATGCCCTGTTTTGGAATCAAGACATTCCTCCAGAAAATAATTGCCAGGTGAATCGATTCCGAAAACAATCATGAGTTGCGGCTCGGAGAACGCGCGCGCCACCCGACTCACAGTCCAGCCGCGGGCCGGCGATCCCAAACAGCCCAGCGCCCCCTTCCTCTTGACGGCCGGCTCGTGGCAGCCGCCGCCCGTCCTGCTGGGGGGCAGCAGGAAGTGACGGAGGGCTTTCAGCCGGCCCCTCAGCCCCCGGAGGAGCCCGGCGAGAGCGCACACGCACGCCGGCTTGGCGTGAGGCGCCTGGTGCTTCATCGTAAAGAGTCGACGGCGGAGTGACACTTGTCGGTCGCAC